AGGAGAATCGACCTGCGTTTGCTGCCAAGAGAAAGGGCATTGGATAGAAGTCTGCCCTAAGAGCCTGAAGATTCCAAAGATGGGAGAGTCAAAGAGTATGGTTGTGCTTCATGTAAAATCCACTATCTAACTCCGTTAAGTTCCTATTCATTGATTCTTGATACATGATGTGATAAGATTGCATTTGAATGTTTTGCAGGATCGGTGAAAAGAAAGGAAGCTTGGTAAGAGAGCAAGATGAATCTAATCACAAAGAAATGGATCTCGATCGCATGGACTTGAAGATTAGATTTTGAGCTTAGATAGTTATGATAGAGTTGTTAGAAATTTTCTTTTTGAGATACATAGTTTTCAATGGATTTTGCATTGTAAGGACAAATGTTTTCTGCTGCTTTTATAAATAAAATAAATTTTCGTTTGACTTATTTATTTATTTGTTCACTTCCTTGCAATGAAATCGTTATGAAAATTGATGTTTGAATATTTCTACAACAAATGGATATGATTCTTATTTATGTTAATTATGGAAATGTCGAGAATTTACCAAATTGGGAGAGTTTCTCATCGCCCAAATTTCAATTGGACAGAAATTTGGAATCACGCAACTTGGTTGCATGATGAATGAGAAATTTCATATTTGGAAATTAGACTAATTCATTGACAAAGTGTCAAGTGAAGGACTAGGAGATCGAGTACACAAAGTTGTGTGTTGGTCAAAGTCCACCATAAGAGTAATAAGATATTCGTCATGATTTACTAAAAGTTTAGTAAATATGATTATACTTATAAGATTAAGTGTAATTCAGAATTGATTGAAAAGGTTTAAATCAATAGCAAAACGAATAAGAAGCATCAAGTAGGCAGAAAGATAAAAGTTTCTCCATTCTAAGAAGAAGGGAGAGTAGCTTTTATGCTTTATGATAGGTATTAATGATTAAGAACCATATCTCAATTGATCCTCTAAGTGAGTCTTAGCACAATTGTATGGCTAAGAAGAATCAAGAATTGAAGAAATGGTTAAATCAAAAGGTCAATCATACTTCGTTCCAATAACAAGTCTTAAAGTTAAGATTGTGGCAATAAGTGACAAGTATTAAGAAGGTTTATAACATTCATCAAATGTGGAAAGTTGTGATGTCTTGGATAAGACAAAGATCAACTAGGACCAATTTATGAAGTGTTTTGATAAAAATTACACTAACTCTTGAATATTTGTTTGTCAAGAAATGGTTATTGACAAGAGAATCTTATATGTCAAGGAGTCAGTGGGAGTCTTAATGGTCTTGAAAGGTTTCAAGAACAAATCAAGTAAACCTTATCGATCATCACTAGCACACGAGTTGAGGTTTACAACCTATCGTGTTGACGTTATTTTGTTTCTGTGCTATTCCAATTGAGTTAATTATGCATGTGAGTTCTATGAGTTTTCATTTTGAACGCATAAAAGGCGAGGCACCTTGATCAATGAAAGGTACATTGATAGGAAAAGGTGAGCTGCTTAACTACTTGGAAGACATGGTGGGCAGCTGTGCTACCATAAGGCAAGAAATCAAGATTAAGAAAGTTCGGTCCATATGAGTTTGAATTTGTCGTAAACTTTGGTTTAAACAAATCACATGGATAGGAACACATACACCGTTTAAATCTAAGTGTCATAAGATTTCCTCCTTCATGAAAATGATTGTGAGGAAATGCTTTCACTAAGAAAGATTTTAAGAAGATAGTGATTGTAAAATTGCATTCTCGAATTCGATTATGGTTACAGTATCCCTTTCCATGATTTGAATTGTGAGGTTTGGCAATTAGTCTTAATTGTTTAGACACACATATGAACTATCTAAGGCAAAGGTGTATAAGTTCAAGAAGCATTGATAAAAGATTATCAAAGCACTAAGTATTAGAAACATGAACTTAAGAAATTCAATAAGTATTGTTTTTCTGAAAGTTAAGCTGTTTCTGAATACATGTCAAAGCTAGTGGGAGCATAAGTGTTATATTTTATAATAATCATCATGATAGTGGGAGCATAAATGTTATGATTGTATGATTATTAAGGCACGTATTGCAAGTTGGCAATATTAATTATAGAAAACAAGAGTTATACCTTGCAAAGTCGTAAGGGTTGTAAAGTTGTTTTGCTATAATTAAGGGAGAGAATATTATGCTTCATTTCAAATCTAAAAGCTTAGGTTGAGAAATGTTAATAAATTTAGTCAAAGGTACATAGTGTGTTCTTAAAATTTCGATTATGATTACGGCATTCCTCTTCACAATTCGAATTTTGAGAACATAGCAAATAAAACATTATGCATCGTGTCCCATACGCTTCGGGTATAGGATCGATTGCAAATGCTTTAATATTTGACCATTCTAAAATTTTCCAAATGTCTAGCGCATTTAGAGGGAAAAGGACAAGAATTGGTTTTTGACTAAAATAATTAAACAACTATCAAAGGACAATCCAAAGTTCGACGAGGATTGGTTGCTTGTGAGTAGTTGGAAGCATGGTATTGAATGGACCATATCGACATTATTATGAATAGAAAGGATTATATTAAGAATGAGTTGTCATACGGAAAATATGGAAATGTTTCCATATTGGATGGACCATATCGACATTATTATGAATAGATAAGATTCTATTAAGAATAAGTTGTCATATGGAAAATATGGAAGCGTGTCCATATTTGGAATTGAATATTGAAAAAAATCTATGACTAGATTAGAAACTTTTATGCAAAAGGATGTTCAAAGGAATGTACTTTGAGTGAGAGACATCATATCTAAGGAATTGTCTTGTAACAATCTCCGATAGAGCATTTTGTAATATCATTGGCAATAGTCTTTGTGACTTTGGTGCAGTGATATTACAAAAGGATCATTGCATAAAATGTTAGAATCTAGCATATTCTATAAGTGGCAAGAATTTGATGTTCTTTCACTTATGAAAAGGGATTTGGAGTTGTGAAATGAGAATGATTGGAAGTGTGTTCAATTTTATCTATTTCACAAAGTAAGAACCGTAGGTAAACATTGTGTGCATGCTAGGAGCATGGGACAAGTGTAATAATTCAAGTAAGAAGTTGATTACTCGAAACGACAAATAATGAGTAATCGATATGGTGATAAATAAAAGGTGTTTTATTTATACTCAAAGGTTTGAGGCCATATGGGATTAGTATTATTCTTGTGTTTCACATTTGCATGTTTTGACTTCCTGAATAATTTAATTGGTTAAGAACAGTCAAATTATTCAAACGGGCCACAGTCGTTCATATGTTGGAAGTAGGTATGAATGAAGACTGTCGTGAATTGGTGTGTGGATTGTCTAAAGAGTATTAGACATAAGCAAATGTTTGCTGCAACGTTCATGAGTGCTTACGAATATGATTTGAGCATTGGATTAAACCCATGCTCACTTGGATCACTCCATGAATTGTATCACGAGTGACTGGTGAGACGATAACATCTTATATTCTTGAAACCGAGATGTGTGAGTTGTATCTTGCAAATCGGTTGCACATTGATAATATGTAAACGCACTAGTAACTTGGTGTTATAAAACATATTGTTGTGTGTGATTCGGTGAGTGAGTGCAAGCGAGCATTGAATCAAAGTTTATCCGTTCCTTCTATCCAAAGTAGGATAAAAGCGATATCTTTGGGCCCCTCGATGATTTAGTGATGACAAACGTAAATGCTCGGCCGGGCTAGGGCTAATTTGATTTGTTCAATTAGTCAGTCGTCATAAATCGGAAGTCGAGAAATAGTACAAAGAGAATGATAAGAAATCATGTCTTATACGATATCTAGAATGGAGGAATATATGATCCCTTATCTAAAGGACACGCGTATCTGATAGGATCAGAGTTGACAGCGGCTTTGGAAAGCTACGATTGCAGATCAGGATCTGATGTCATACGCAGAATAGTTATTAGACTTATCCAAGTGGGAGACTGTTGAATTAGTGTCTAAGTCCATAACTATTTTGGTATGTACTTGACCCGATGGTGCATGGTCCTTTTGGGTTGCCTTCACCAAAGCAACTTGATAGGATGAATTATGGAGAGAAAGGATTAAATATGATTTATTAATATATTATGAGAATAATATATTAAAGGAGAAATCATATTGTTTAATTAATATTAGTCAATAATTAATTGGTAATTAGTTTTGTGACTAAAAGAGATTAATTAAACTTAAGGGACTGGAATTGTAATTATAAGATAATTGCAATTTGGGCTATGGATTTCCATATATATTAAGGAGTGGACGAATTCTATGGGGAAACCCATAAGGAAATCGTCCAAGGCCTTAATTAAAGGAGTCCATGGGTTGCTTAGGGCTTAAGCATCCAAATTAGGGTTTCCTTGTTAGATAACCCTAATAGCCTCAATATATATATGACCCTTATGACCCAAAAAACGTGGTGAAGCATCCTTCTAGGGTTTCACACATTTTTGGGCAGCCTCCATCCTCTCTCCTCTTCATCCTCTTGCTTATGGTGTTTGTGAACCATTAGAGGAGTGACATTTGTGACTCTAAGCTTTCTAAAGTCAATACAAGGAGGAATTGGGATTGTTATTGCTACATAACAACCAAGGTAACATCTTAAACCTATTCTCATGTTAATATGATTACTTGAATGTTAGAATTAGGGTTTATAGTCTTGGATAACTTGCATGTACAATAGAGAAACCTAGATCCAAGCATTAGGGTTTGTATGAGCATATAGGATGTTCTTATGACCAAAACCCATCATTATATTCATATCGTTCCCTCTCCTATCTCTCTATCTATCTTATTTAAAAAAGCAACAAAAAGAGTTGGGAGTTTCTAGGGTTTCTGTGGTTTGCTTTGTTCGGAGTTGGAAAGGCTTTCTGATTTGCAGGCTATTTATCTATCTAGGTTTGGATTCATATTAATAAAGGGAGAGGGAAGTTAAAAAAGCCAAAAAATCAGAAAATTTGGGGAAAAGGTAAATATTTCTAGGGTTTTGAGATGGCGGCTCAGGTTCAAGTTCAACCTCAGGCGGTGAGTGTTGGTGTTGGTGGTGCTGCTCCTGCTGGTGCTCAGCAGTTTGTGCCGACTTCATTGTATGTTGGGGATCTGGAGTGGAATGTGATGGATTCGCAGTTGTATGATCTGTTTAACTAGTTAGGTCAAGTGGTTTCTGTTCGAATTTGCAGGGACTTGTCGACTCGACGATCGCTTGGTTATGGCTATGTCAACTATGCGAATCCTCAAGATGGTTAGTGTTGTTTAACAAATTCACCTTCTCATGGTTAGATATTGCAATTCCTTATGATGTCAACACTGTTGAAAGCATTAGTTCTTACTCCTCTTGTTATGTTGATGACAGCTGCAAGGGCAATGGAGGTACTGAACTTCACACATTTGAATGGGAAGGCGATCAGAATAATGTATTCTCATCGAGACCCAAGCGTACGCAAAAGTGGCTCTGGAAACATATTTATCAAGGTATTCAAAGCAGAAAAACTTTAATCTATTAATCACTGTTTCCACTTTCTTATAGTCTTCTTTACCTACTGACTTGTATGAACAATCTAAACAAAAACAGATTCTTGATAAGGCAATCGACCAAAAGGCCTTACACGACACATTCTCTACATTTGGCAATATTCTCTCCTGCAGGATTGCGACAGATTCAAGTGGCCAATCAAAGGGGTATGGTTTTGTTCAATACGACGCTGAAGAATCTGCACAAAAAGCCATTGAAAAACTGAAGGACATGCTTTTAAACGACAAACAAGTATACGTGGGACCCTTTTTGCGCAAACAAGAAAGAGAACTAGTTGTCGACAAGACAAAGTTTACTAATGTCTTTGTCAAAAACCTGTCCGAATCAACAACATATGATGATCTAAACAAGACATTTAGTGAATTTGGAACTGTGACAAGTGCTTGTGATGAGGGATGCTGAAGGGAACTCCAAATGCTTTGGATTTGTTAATTTTGAGAATGCTGAGGATGCTGGTAAAGCAGTGGAAGGGCTTAATGGTCAGAAATTTGATAACAAAGAATGGTATGTTGGAAAAGCACAGAAGAAATACGAAAGGGAACAGGAATTGAAGCAAAGATTTGAACAGAGTATGAAGGAGGCAATTGATAAATCACAATCCATACAACTTTAGTTTTTCCGTTTCTATGGTCATTGAGGAATCGAAGCAAAGATTTGACAACATATTCTTTTAGAATGATAAAAAATTCTTTAAGAATGTTTTATATTTTATAAATTTTATGTATATTCTTCACAAATGATAACAGATTCTTATAAAATGTAGTATAAAAGGTTATGTATATTTTTTTTAATTTTTGTATATATTCTTGTTTTGTGTTATAAAAATGATTCTCATTTTATAGAATATATTAGAGATTGTATTGCAATATATTTTTCTTAAATAATGATAGGTTATTGTCTAATATTCGAGGTATATTCTTTAAGATTACTTAATGGATTCTTTTAGAATCAAAGAATCAAAAAATTAATTAATGAAATCATATTCTTTATAGAATGTATTAGAGATTGTATTGCAATATATTTTTCTTAAAGAATGATAGGTTATTGTCTAATAATCGAGGTATATTCTTTGAGATTACTCAATGGATTCTTTTAGAATCAAAGAATCAAAAAACTAATTAATGAAATCATATTCTTTAAGAATGAATGAATCAAAATATGTGTTGAATGCAGCCGTTTTATAAAAAAAATCTGATTTAATTTAAATACATTGAATAAAATATGAGATTTGATTTAATTTTCATTAATTAATTTAACTTACTTGCCTAAAATGTAGATAATTCTCATTTCTCTCTCTTTATTAAATGTCATATTTTCCTTTATACTTAATTAAATGTAATTATATAGTATATGCTAGTCCATGTAAATAAGATGTACCCTAAGATCATAACATTTCATTCTTTTAATCTAATTGTTAAGTTTGGTCATACATTCACACAATATTTGTGATTCATATTTGATCCTAACCCTATATATATATATATATATATATATATATATATTGTTAAAATATTGAAAAAATATGTTTAAAATGGTTATGTTATTGATATTAACTTTGAGATACTATTTTTGCACTAATATATATATATATATATATATATATATATATATATATATTAGTGCAAAAATAGTATCTCAAAGTTAATATCAATAACATAACCATTTTAAACATATTTTTTCAATATTTTAACAATATATTTTTAACATACATTGTACAACGCGTAGAAATTCGTCTAGTCATACTAGCTATCATACATACTTATAAAGCTAGCATTTTTCTTTGAACCTCATGCATTTGAAACCCGCATAAAAATTTGCAAACATCTCATTCATTTGAAACCTCCTATTTTAATGAATACCACTCAAAAGTCTCTTAATAATGATTAACAATTCAAAGGTTTTATAACTTATATAATATATTTAATAAAGATTTAATGGATACTCTACTATAAAAAAGTCAATTTTTTTTTGAGTAGACACACAAATACAAATCACATACAAAATTCACAAAGAAAACAAGTTTTAAAGTTTTTTGTGTTGGTTTGAGGGCTTTGAACAATTTTCCGAGCCATGTTATTATGTTGAAGTTTTTAATTTGTAAGTTTGTTATATACTAATTCTTTTTTGTATTTTCTTGATTTAAGTATTCTTTTAAGAATATCATTGTATGTTATGGCTGAAATTTTAATATAAATTAGATTAGTTTCATGTTATCGATCATATGTTATTTAAGGTGATGTATATAATATTTAATTAACTATTCTATACATGTTTGTATGTTCATGTTGCTTCAAAACAATAATTAATTAAAAATCATGGATATGTCATATTATCCATATTATCCATGTAAGCATTTTTTAAAATGTAAATTGTCTATCTTATCACTTTATATTTTAGTATATGTTTAACATTTTAATTATAATAATAAACGCTTTTTAAAAGTTTCTTTCACTTATTAATAATAACAAGTGGTTTTAAAATTAATAAGCAATAATTATAAATAATAAAATCAAATTACATGAATATGTCATATTATCCATGCAAATTGTCTATCTCATCACTTTATTATTTAGTGTATGTTTCACATTTTAATAATAATATTAAGTGTTTCTTAAAAAAAATTTTAACGTATTATTAATAATAAGTGGTTTAAAATTAATGAATAATACTTTTAAATGATAATAACATCAAATTATAATTTACATTTAACTATAAATAAATTGTATTTTAAATGAACATCATTATTGAAATTAGAAAATGATCGCATAAGTAAAAATATAATTAATCAATAATAATAATTGTTAAAAATAATACTAAATAGAAAATTATATTTAATTCTATTAATGATGAATGTGGGTTAATTTAATGAATATTATTGTTCAAAATAATTGAGATTATATATATATATATATATATATATATATATATATATATATATATATATATATATATATATATAAATTAGTGTAAAAATATTATCTCAAAGTTAATGTAAATAACATAACCATTTTAAACATATATTTTTCAATATTTTAACAATATATTTTTAATTTTCGTCGCGCAACGCGCGGGAATTCGTCTAGTATACTTATAAAGAAGACATTTTTTCTATCACCACGATCATTTGAAACTTCCATGTCTTTTCATATTTCTTTATAATAATGATTCCATAATATCTATTTAAACCTACATAATTTTTCACTAGTATCTAAGTAACAACTACCACTCAACAGTTTTTTTAACTTATGATAATTAATGGTTCTTAAGACACAAATTGATTAAAACTGAGATATATATAGTTAACAATGGTAGATTTTTATTAGAATTTTTTAAAGAGTTGTGTGAGTGGTTGAGAGGTAGATTAAAAACTCCATACAAAAAGATTGTCGATAGAGAACCTAAGTAATAAGAAAGAGGAAGATGACGATGAGAAGGAAATATGAAAGTTTATGGTAAGAAATATTGCTTCATTTTCTTTTTTCTTATTATTCAAATTTATATTGTATAATTATGATTTTGGTTGGAATGAAAAATATTATATATGAAGATGCTCTAATCATTGCCTTTAGATTCAGATGATCAACAAAACTACTTCACAACAATACAAAACAAGAATGGATAATGAAGTTTGCAAGATTTTACAGGGTAAATTTCATTCCACTTACCGCTCAATTGTTTTTTAACTTATGATACTTAATGGTTCCTATGACACAAATTGATTAAAATTGATATATATATATATATATATATATATATATATATATATATATATATAGTACACAATGGTATATTTTTATTAGAATGGTTTAAAGAGTTGTGTGAGTGGTTGAGAGGTAGATTTGAAACTCCATACAAAAAGATTATCGATAAAGAGCATAGGTAATAAGAAAGAGGAAGATGACGATGAGAAGAAAATATGAAAGTTTATGGTAAGAAATATTGCTTCATTTTCTTCTTTCTTATTTTCCAAATTTATACTGTATAGTTATGATTTTGGTTGGAATGAAAAATATTATATATGAAGATGCTCTAATCATTGCCTCTAGATTCATATGAGCAACAAGACTACTTCACAACAATACAAAACAAGATAGGATAATGGAGTTTGCAAGATGGTGCATGTTAATGTTCATTCCAGTTCAAATTGTATAACTAGACTTTTAAAAAGATTCATTGGGTGTAATTTCTAGGATGATGTAATGGAGTGCATGTCATCATTTAATTTTATAGGTCTTCATGTTGTGTTGGATGTTTGCAATTGCTTACATGAAAATGGTGTAACACCCGGTTCCCGGTATGTATTTTAAATATAAGTATTTGCTTGATTACACTGGGACTCGACGAGTTGGAGGCCCAAATCGTCGAGTAGACTGGATTTTGTACGCGGGTTTTAAGTAACCTACTCGACGAGTAGGGCTGTCTGGATGAAACCCTAAAATAAGGGTTTACACCCTATTTAAACGCCTTATCTAGCCCCATTTCAGCCTCCATCGTCTCTCACAGTCCAGAAAACCCCTAACTCGAGACCCTAAAGAATTTTGAGTGTCCTTGAGCCATTTTGTGTGTTTTTGGTTGCTTGAATCTTGAAGAAAGAAGTGGAAGCTCAGGGGTTCTAGAAGAAACAAGTAGATCCATAGATTTTGCTTCATTTCCAGCTTATTCAAGGTAAAAAGCTTTAACCTTGACCATTTATCTCTTAGATCTCTAGTTAGGGCTAGTTTTCACCTTTTCCAAGCTTTAGTAGAACCATTTTCGGGACTTTGTGGTTTAAAATGGGTATAACTTTAGATCTTGAAACATTGAGGGTTCCCATGGCATAAAGGTGCCAACTTTATGGCCATGAGATCCCCATGCACTTTGTAGACTTCATTTTTGGGTCTTTTGAGCTTGAAGACCCATGCATGGACGTAAAGTTTATGACTTTTTGTGTAATATGGACCCTAGGAAGTTAGATCTACGTTTTGGATGCATTAAGGCTGACTGAAATCGACTGAATAGTTTTGGATATGAAGGGACTTGGCGAGTCGCTCATAGGACTCGGCGAGTCGAGTCACAGTTTCCCCAAACCCCTTCTGATAACGAGCAAAGTATTGAGTTGGAAGAAGACTCAGCCAGTTGGGTTCATTTATGGACCTGAAGATCGTGGAACTCGGCGAGGTAAAAAACAAACTCGGCAAGTTCAAGACTAAGTCCCAACTGCATGAAGAAGAACTCGACGAGTTCATGGAGAACTTGGCGGGTCCAGGACTAACTATGCCAACTTATAAGAAGAAGGACTCGACAAGTTCAAGGATGAACTTGGGGAGTCAGTTGTAGGAAGTCTCGATTTTATACGAAGGAGAACTTGGCGAGTTCTTAAAAGACTCGGCGAATAGAGTCGAAGTTTTTAACACTTTAAGGATTATGGAACTCGGCGAGTTGGTGGATCAACTCGGTGAGTTGAGTCAACCAGATGTTGACCTTGACTTTGACTTTAACCAAGGTGTTGACCTTGACTTTGACCTGAGTTGACCCTTGAAAGGGCTGTGAATATGAAATGGTAATTAATGAAGGTTATTATGTGTAGGAGTTTGATAGGAGTCGATTCCAACACCGAGAACAATTTAGATACTA